TATATATATTTGTGTGTGCGTGCACTCCACATCCCGACTCATTGGTGCGGCCTTTGACATAAGTCCCTCGGGTTGGGGGTTCAAATTCCGTGGCGCGGGTTCTTCGGATTAATGAAAGCACACCTGAGTTTCAACCCGAAAGGGAAAGTGTTATTTGGGGCCCGCCGAACCAAATACCGATTCACTTTCTATTCCCTCTCTATTATATATATATATAATTATATATATAGCCCGCCAAACCAAATACCGATTCACTTTCTATTATATATATATATAATTATATATATATATGAAATCTTTTCGGAAAGGGGAAGTGTTATTTGGGAATTTTTTAAAAATACTATATATATATATAGTATTTTTAAAAAATTTAATTGAATACAAGGCTACAAAGGTTAATAAACAATTAAAATTATTAATTAAAAAATAGAATAAATATATATCAAATTATATTTAAATGATATTTTAGTATAAACAATAAGCTTTAAATCTTGCCCCAACCTTTAACATCCTACGACTGCGTGATTAGGGTTGTTAAAATGTCTCTTTGTTCGCGAACAATATTTGTTTGGCTCGCTAAGCAAACGAGCCGAACATAAATACACTTTTTGTGTTCGAAATATAAGCAAGTCAAACGTGAATAGTGATATTTTTAATAAACCAGATACGAACAGAGCCTGGGCTCGCTCGTGTTCAGCTCTTTTACACCCCTACTTGGGGGCCGTTTGTGATCACTTTTTTTTTGTTTTCTATTTTTTTAAATTATTTTGTTTTATTTGTGTTTTAATTTGAAACAAAATATGTTTGATAGACATGTAAATGCCTTTTTTTTTTAGCAAATTTAATTGTAAACTCTAACACTTAGTGTATGGAAGTTTTCAAAACTATGAGCTGTTGGTTGAAGCTAGGGAGTAAGCGAGTCGAGCTCGAGCTGCCCTCTACTCGAGTTTGGCTATATTAATTAATTGAGTTCGAGCTGACTCATGAGCCAGCTTGATTAATATAAAAGAGAGAAAAATTTAGGGCCGTTGTGATTACTTTTATTTTTTGTTTTCAATATTTTTTTATTATTTTCTTTTATTCATGTTTTGATTTGAAGTAAAGCATGTTTGGTATGTATGTAAATGCCTTATTTTTTAGCAAATAATTATAAATTCTAACACAATATATAAAAGTTGTCAAACCTATGTGCACTTGGTTGCTTCTATGGGCGTAAACGAATTGAGTCGAGTCGAGCTTGAGCTTGTTGAGTGTGGAGCCCGGTAGAGAAAAATAATAATAATAATAATAAAATTGTCGTAACGGCTCCTCCCTTGTTCGCGAAAATCCTCCCGCTCCCATCTCGCCTCTTTCGGTTCGAAAAAGTAGTTCTCTCGTACCCGTCCGCTCCATCATGTTCATGAAGCCCTTCCGTCTCCATCCATCGTGTGCGAAACAGAAGCCCCCATCCAGACGATCATCTCTCGCGAAACAGAACTCCTCTCCAGTCTCCGCCTGCGCCTCGTGAAAGATTCTTCTCGTGCTTGGCAAAAGGAAGAAGAAGGTGTTTGTTCTTGATTTCTTCTTGTTAGCTTGTGGCAGAAGAGAAATATGTTTTTGCTCTTGTACGTATTTCATCTTCTTCGGTGTATCTCGGTGTAGAGAGAGAAGAGTGAAGAAGTGAAAGAAAGAGTTCGCTCTTGTAAGTTGAGACGTGATCAAACTGGTGTAAATTCCTCAATTAATACAATCCTCTGAAACTCTATAGATGTAGGCAATTTGCCGAACCACGTAAATTTGTGTGTTCTTTTGGTGTGAATTTTTTCGTTCTATTTTCGTTTCGTCGTCGATCACTTTAAATTTCATATATACCACAACAGAGTTGTCCTCTACTCGAGCTTGAGTTTGATTAATTAATTGAGTTCGAGCTATAACTCAAACTTTATTCTACGAGTTTGAGCAGGCTTACGAGCATGCTCGATTAATATAAAAAAAGAAAAAATAATATTAATTTTAACTAGTATTATAACAAAAATAATATATAAAATAAACATCTAGGAGATATACGATGAGAAATCATTGGATATAAAATGCAAATAAAATCTTAAAATTTATTTTTTAATATCTCCCATAAGTCTTTTTCTCTCTCTAATAGTGTTTCCATGACCTATCTTTCTCTCTCTATCTCTATCTTTAGTGATATCTCCATCACCCTCTGAAGAAATTTGGTCTTATATTTCTGCCCACCAGTACATGTTTATGAATGTTGACATTTTTTTTATTGCACTATAAATTAATTAATTTAACATCTTTTATTTCCATGAAATAAAAAATAATAAATCATTAAATTTTCTTAAGAATATAAATTCAATACTTTACAAACTCATTCTAATAAAATAAATTATCACACAATTACCCTCAATCTACTCTATTTAACCGTATAAACAATTACATATATTACAATTTTGTAATTTTTTTTATTTCAAATCAACCCAATGAAGTCATGGAATCTGTAATTTTTGGCTTTGCTGCTTTGTTTGACGATGGAGTTCCATCACCTGCGGGGAAGCTGTAAGCCAGTTAGCGGCGGTCTCCACTGGCTTTATAAGAAAAAGTAATAATCACAAAATTAAAATTAGTTAATACTTAATTAACAATTAATTAACCTAATTGCAATGGTTCCAACAAGAAAATCCACGTGGATGGTGGAACCAGATTTTTTCCCACCGTCCAATTTATTAGATAATGTACTAAATATGGACGTTCATACCAGTGAGATATAATAGCTCTGTATTTTTATATTACTTTGGGTCGCTTTGGTACTTTGGATTAATTGCTAATTCATTTTTATAATTTGTTTAATTATAGAAATTTTTATCCATTAATCAAGACACTTTAATGCGGAATGCTTTATCTTTGGGGGCGTTTGGAGCATCTTTTAATAAAATTTATCATTAGAATTATTGAATTCAATCAAAAATTAAATTACAAGAGCTAGATGGATTTATGAATTTTGTAATTTAGGGTTTCAAAATTGATACGGCACCAACAAATTTTCATCATCCGACACGGATCTTGACACATGTCATGAATACCGAGATAATATTTTGAACAAGAAATGTTCTGATCTTGTTAAAAAATTCATCCAGAGCTCTGATTTTAGCAAACTTATAATCAAACTGATCGACTCGATGAGACAGACCTAATGATATGAAAATCAGTCCAATTCAAGTCAAATTAAGCCTAAATCAAATCATTAAACCACCCTTGAAGGATTTCCGGAGGCATTTGAAAGGTCAAACAGATGTCGAATCTAGTGAGTTCATAGTCAAATTGAACATTTCGACAAGACAAATCCAACGAGTCCAAGATTGGTCAAGTTTGGCATCGTTAAGGCACTCAAATGTCCATCAAATGTCATCTGATCAAGGGAAGCTATCCGGACTGTTCGATCAAAATGGTTCATACTCCTGCATTAATTACACTCAAAACACTATAAATTGAGTCTCACTCCTCACATAAAAAGAAAAGTCCAACATCATCCCAGCCATCGTCGACCACCGCCAATCACCATCGATTTCCTTCACCACCGTCGACCGTCATCGACCGTCGTCGATCACCGCTAACATCTATCAACTACTACCGAGCTTCATCGATTGTCGTCGACTATCGTCGATCACCGCCGACCTCCGTCGACCATCAGTTGACATTATAACTTGGAAATCTAGTAACATTTTCCCGTCTGTTGGACAAGAGGCCTCTGTAATCATCAACTCATAGTGGATTTTTATAACTGCGCCTAAACCCGTGGTTTTTTTCCCTTTCACGGGTTTTCCAAGTAAAAACTTCTGATGTTATCACTATTTTTTTTCACTTTCATCTGAGTGTGCGTTGAATCCTCGTGCAACGCTAAGACGATAATCCAAAACTCTACCGCCGCGAATTTTCCAGCACGCATCAATGATGATAATATTTTTAACATATTATTACAAATTTGAATATTATTCATGAAAAATTATGAATTTTTTATGTTTCAGATATATAAATACATAATAATTGTGTTATATGTAAGTAAATGCTCCTAATTTTTTAAATCTATTTGGCAAAAATGAAGAACCATCAATTTACAATGCCCTTCTTAATTGATTTGAAATTTTTCGTACCTCTCTTCACAAGAGCATTTCTAATTTGCGGCTCTCTTCAAATTTAGTTATCCAGAACAGTCCTCTTCGCAAAATTATAAAACGTGGGTAGTATGCAATTATAAATAATTGCTGCTATAAAGTGCAGACTGTCAGAAAGTCATAAATAGTGGCTATCATAAATCTCTAAATGAATGTGACAATAGTACAAGACTATTCATAAAACAGCATTAATGTTCCTCATATAAACTTATATAATGAATTCCTAGCATGCTTTAACAGAATCAGTATAATATTTTAATAAAATTCAGCTGTTAATTGAGTTTT